TCAACAATAGTAATTTAGTTCATAGTATTGTTTTTTTCTTCTTCATAATGCCGTAATTTATTATTATACCTTAAAAAAATTACAATTCCTTCACTAATTAATCGAAAGGAACTTCGTTCCATCCGGGTGTCCCTTGACACCTCTGAAGTTTTTTATTAATAGAGCGTAACTTTCTCAGAATGCTCGACTGACGTGTTAGAGTTGATATGGCGCATATAATAAACCAAACCCTCCCCCCTCTATTTACTTGAGAATTCTTCTTCAAACTTTATCGTAGCGCGCAATCTTTTTGGAACGAAGTTCCTTATGGGACGATACGGAGGGGCACCCTAACCGGGAAAAAACGTCCGTAACGTAAGATTTTTTTTAGTTACTTTGTTATCAACAGATGTCGCTGTACGTAATTTCAACAATTCCTGAATCGCGGTGACAAGATGTTACACAGTTGATAAACGTTCTCGTATTTCTCCTGTTAAATTATACTTAGTCCATTGAAATGTTACATTTTTAGCCCTAACCTGGCGTTTTTTAGAGGTCGCAATTTTATGTTGAGACATGTGTGGAAGGTCAATAGAAGCTTAACCTCAAGTTTGTGGGGTCGCCACCCTTGTCCCCCGGCCGCCATCTTGGAAAAAGGGGTGAAAACACTTTTTTCGCGATATCTCGGAAACTATGCGTCTTACAAAAATTTTGTAGTCATAATTTGTAGCAAAACTAGCAAATTGTTTTGCCTACAAATAATGTTTATATATTTCATTGCTTGTCATTCATTTATTTCATTGCTTGTTGTTAATTGGTTTTGGTGATCGACAGATATATATTCTACACTATAATTCTCATGTTGTACCTATTTGTTATTTTAGCTGCTCTACACACACTCATCACTTTTAATTATCATTCTCATAATCCTCTCGCAGGTCTGCTGGAAGAGATTTCTTAAAGAAATGAGCAGTGCCTTTGTACAAAATTTTCCTATTACTCTGTACTATGTCTTCCTTTTTGTGCGTACATAAATAAATAAATAAAAAATAAATAAATAAATAGATATCCCAGTGAAATGAAATTTAGGTCATATAAATATCATCATAATCGACAGGATTGACATCGACAGATCTTGTCGATTCTACAATCGGTTCCAAGAAGTACTAGCTACAAGGCTTCCGAAAACATACGGACTTCCGAAACAAACTCAGTGGGATTGTCTTGTCATCAACAGGATACTTTGCTACAATTTTAACTCCGTAATACTGTTTAAATATCACTAGATGATGACCGAGCCTTGCACGTTTTTTTTATTTAAAACGCCATCTTGTTGTGTCTTTAAAGCAGTAAAAATAGTATTGTTATTCGCCAATAGACGTCGGAAAGAGCCATAAAGTTGATTATTGAAAACACGAATAAAGCAACATTTTCTGAAAATAAATCGTAGCTAGATCGATTTATCGCCCTCGCAATCCCCTGTATACTAAATTTTATAAAAATCGTTGGAGCCGTTTCCGAGATTCAGATTATATACATATATATACAAGAATTGCTCGTTTAAAGGTATAAGATTCTCTTCAGACTCCAGGAATCGTAGAAAGCACAATTTACAAATTCGGTACGTACAGATGTTCAAATCCCTACGAAATACTGTTTAGTCTTACGTGAAAATGAAAACTTTTCTCCTCCTTGAGTCGTATTCCTCACTGCTGAGGGTCGTAATCAACCTTTTGTATCACATTCGCACGCACGATCTTTCTCTATCTATTCTTGTCTCTGGCGGTGTGGAGGGCGCTGTGAAATGTCGAATCAAAAGCGGTGCGGATCTGGTCGGACCAACGCCGCAACGTATTGGGCTGAGCCCCCTAGGTCTTTTCCCATCCATCCATACTACCTGGAGCCACTGCGGTCATCCACAGTGCGTTTCCAGAGATCTTTTTTGCCACGTACCATCCGGCTATGGAATGAGCTCCCCTCCACGGTGTTTCCCGAGCGCTATGACATGTCCTTCTTCAAACGAGGCTTATGGAGAGTATTAAGCGGTAGGCAGCGGCTTGGCTCTGCCCCTGGCATTGCTGAAGTCCATGGGNGGCTATGGAATGAGCTCCCCTCCACGGTGTTTCCCGAGCGCTATGACATGTCCTTCTTCAAACGAGGCTTATGGAGAGTATTAAGCGGTAGGCAGCGGCTTGGCTCTGCCCCTGGCATTGCTGAAGTCCATGGGCGACGGTAACCACTCACCATCAGGTGGGCCGTATGCTCGTATGCCTACAAAGGCAATAAAAAAAAAAAAAAAAAAACCATCTGAGTTCCGATTTCGTTTGTCAGCTTGTCCACAATAACACATAAACCATGCTCTACATCTTCGTGTTATTTTCCAAAGACAAAAAATTTGCCTAAAAATTTGTATACAAACTTGGGGAAGCAGTAAATAAAATTCTATAGGGGACATCAAGAATTAATATACATAAAAAGTTTCGTAATATAAAAACATCCCGACACAGAGTAGTGTTTTCCCCAACATAATCCTTATAGACTCATGTTTTGATGTTAACGAATGATAACGGCTTACCACCGGACGGGCCGTGAAGTCGTTCGGCAAACTATTGCAAAAATACTTGAAGAGGGTCTTTTAAGTCTTTAAACCAGTAAGATATTTATAGTCTGGTGGTAGGACCTCTTGTGAGTCTGCACGGGTAGGTACAATCACCCTGCCTATTTCTGCCGTGAAGCAGTAATGCGTTTCGGTTTGAAGGGTGGGGTAGCCGTTGTAACTATACTTGAAACCTTAGAACTTATATAACAAGGTGAGTGGGGCGTTTACGCTGTAGATGTCTATGGGCTCCAGTAACCACTTAACACCAGGTGGGCTGTGAGCTCGTCCACCCATTTAAGCAATTTAAAAAAATCCTAGTAAAATATATTCCTACACTCTCCCAGTTCTCGCCGAAGTCCTATTCCACCCTAAGTCCTGTTCATCGTTGATATTGATTAGTGGCTTATCCCGAGTGAGTCCGAAAATTTCACCATTAACTCGGTACTATTTCTGCCGTGAACATAATAATATCTTGATCCCCGATGTGACCAAAGAAAGTCTTTATTGTCTTGATTTTGATTAAAATAATAAATAGACCAGAATAAGGAGAGATGTGTCTTATAGGCTTCCGATCGGAAAGGAGTTACTTTTGCTATATCTGTTTTTTGTTCTTGTTAAGTAATGATTAAATAAAATAAACAAAGAATCAGTATAGAATGACTAAGCGAATCATTTAAGGTGAATAAAGGCGAATAAGTTAGTATTGCAAATTAATTTCTGGAATATTAATGAAAAAAAAAGGTATATCACTTTTTTATTATAAATATATAAATACGGTGTCATGGCCGAGCGGCAGTTCCGTAATCATACGAATTCGGTGCAATTGAGTTTATTGCAATAAAGCCTTTTGAATAATTTTGAATTTTATTGATGCACAAAACATATCACTATCGTTACATTATCCCCTCTTGTAAGTCCGCTCGGGTAGGTACCACCACCCCGCCTATTTCTGTCGTGAACCAATAATGCGTTTCGGTTTGAATGGTGGGGCTGCCGTTGTAAATATACTGAGACCTTAGAACTTATATCTCAAGGTGGGTGGCGCATTTACGTTGTAGATGTCTATGGCCCCCAGTAACCACTCAATACCAGGTGGGCTGTGAGTTCGTCCACCCATGTAAGCAATAAAAAAAGGCTAGTCTACCCACAAGGGTAATAAAAAAAATATATATATACCTATAATCACGAATCTGCTTTTTGGTCGATCCCAAGCAAAGAAAAGTTTTTTTTTTAATGATTGAAAGTTTACTGATGGCCCGAAGGCCTTTCCAGTTTCACCAGGACAGGTGGGCGAGCAAAGGCTCAGCCAAGAGGGGCGGGATTTGCTAACAACTGCCCGAGCGCCTCCGACAAAGAAAAGTATTAAGTCTCCATGACCTTGTCAGCGCTTTAGAACGCGCTCAAATGGGCTTACATCTAAAATAATATACAAAATATTAGGTACAACGCCGACAAACTTAGAAGCGACACGTGTATCATGTCTTATTTGTATTAAATAAGTATTGGACTCGATATCAGAGTACTGTTGACAAGAAGACTCAAATAAATATTTGAGCGAGGACATATCTACCGCGTAAAAAAGATATCGACCAATTCTGTATATTTACAAATTGAAGAATTAGAAGAAGAAAAAAATTCAGTATTACGATACTAGAACCCCGATTAAATTAAAAAAAAAAAGAAGCAATCTCGCTTAAGTGTGGGGCGCTTTTCAGGATATTATCAAAATAACCCTTCTCCTCATATCTGTTCATAAAATATTTATAACTACATATACCATGTGCCCCACGCTTTTTTTTACAATAAAATCATCTTTTCTTACACTATTTTTAATTCAAATTTATTAAAATTTATTTCCTATTTTTAAGTTGGATTTTCTATAAAAGCGTATTTTGTTAGTTTTTTTTAAACTATTATTTATTTGTTTTATGGTCGTAAGTATAATTTAAAAAACACACATACAATCTAAATCATTATACAATTAATTCACACCCACACAATAACATAATAATAACATTTGTCTCATGCGAATTCGTAATTAGAATAGAGTATAGTAATTTTTTTTTTCTCTCATGAAAACCGTATTCAAGTTGGAAGCGTTGTCGCGTTGCACACGGATCCGCGTTTCCTTCAGTCGGCGATTAGCAATCCTTCGTCAGCCGCCAGTCCCTCCTTACTTACCGTCGACTGTGCATGCCTCTTCCCGCAATGGAACGCGCGCGATCGTAAAAAATAAACTTAATTTAAAAAAAAAAAAAACCGATACAAATAAAAACTTTTTTGTGAAATAAACTGTTTAGTGTTCCATTTTTAAATCACTAGGATTCTGAATACACCGCTTTGGAAATTCGGATTTTGAAATTTTTGCATCAAATTTAAAATATTTCTTTTTTTGTGTGTGCGTGTGTGTTGGTGTGCATATTTTGTGTGTATTTTACGATTAGTCAAACTATTGTTTATTACCGAAATATCATTTGAAGTGTTTGTGCATTAATTGTTCGTGGTTCATTAAGAAATTTTTGAAGCGCTGCCAACATTGAAACGTGAGTAAATAATGAATTTTCAAAATTCGATTCATTATTTTGAGGTACCAACATTATTTAACGTGATTCGTGAACGTTTGCCAAAAACTAATGGATGTTTGAAATAGTTCCGATTCGTATAATAATTCTTAATTCCCTTGTCATTGAATTAAAAACGGTTTGAATTTTTCACGCACACAAAATACGATTAAACTGTACATAAGAACGATTTTAAAATGCGCATAAAAAATAACGCAGATATAATTTAAAAAAAAAACCTTAACCACGCAGAATAGTCATGGAAAAGAAAAAATTAATTCACTAATACAACTATAAAGAAAAGAAAAAAGAAAAATTGAACATAAAATTTAATGCTGTAACTAATAAGAGTATTAAAATTTATTAGTAATAATCTGATTTATTGACTAATAAAGAATAAATTGCAAAAGGAAATATGTATTCAAATGCATTATTTATATACAAAGTGAGAATTAAAAGCATTAAGGTACAACAATACAAATAAAATAAAAACACACACACACACAAATTATCACTTCAATATCGGCGCTTTTCTTCTTGGATTTCTTATTTTCTGCATCCTTGTTACACAGTTAAGTTATACAGCCTCCTAAGTCCTAGCATCCACCTACTGGTACAAATCTAGTGCAGGTCATATAGCCTTTCTTCTTAATTGTTCCTTGACTACATATGACTTTCCTCGGTACTTCAATAAATTATAAGGCTCCGTGGTTCGTGAGGAACGTTGACCTACTCGTGTAGGTCGGTCGTCGTCGACCTGGGCCTCGAATCAATTCGGAAATACATGAAGTCAGCGTCGGAACGGTACTTCGATAAGGCTATGCGTCATGATAATCGCCTTATCGTTGTCGCTGCTGACTACTCCCCGAATCCTGATCACGCAGGAGCCAATCTCCGTCAGCGCCCTAGACACGTCCTTACGGATCCATCAGATCCAATAACCCTTGCATTAGACGCCTTTAGCTCTAACAATCGGAGCAGGCTTCGGGAACCCGGTAACCGTACTCGTCGAACTCGGCAAATAGTTCGACGTGTAACCTAACCTAAACATCAGCCCGCTGAGTTTCTCGCCGGATCTTCTCAGCGGGGCGTGATTCCGATGCGGTAATAAATTCATTCGCGAATCAGCTGTTCTTGAGTTCTCTTTCAGAGGCGCTCCGGCAGCTGTTAGCAAATCTCACCCCTCCTGGTGAGATCTCTCCAGGCTGAGCCTTTGCTCTCCCACCTGTCCTGGTGAAACTGTAAAAAATAAAAAAATGACTTTCCTCCATAGTCATGGATGGAATTGGCCGCATAGTATAGACCAACCGCTTCCTTTATTAGATCTGACCAGCAGTGGTTCTGCCCTCTTTAATATTGCGTATTTCTAACATAATGCAATCATGGGTGCTTTGAAAAAGCTTTGTTGTTTGTTGTACTGTTGTTACATATGCCCCTCAATAATAATAACGTAATATTAATAATAATGCCTCTATATAAAGACGATATATTGCTAAAGCGCGGCAGAACATATTATTTGGCTTAAGTAGCGGAAAAACACATCGTTTTGTACTATCTATATCTATATTATAAAGAGGAAAGATTTGTTTGTTTGTTTGTTTCGAATAGGCTCCGAAACTACTGGACCGATTTGAAAAATTCTTTTTCCATTAGAAGCCGACATTGTCCCTGATGAACATAGGCTACTTTTTTTATTTTTTTATTTTTTTTTGTTTCATGTGTGTTTTAATGTTTTCAAAGCGAAGCGAGGGCGGGTAGCTAGTTTCTTTATAAAATAAACTCAGTGCCAGTCACCGTGTCCTTTTTTAAAAAGAGGACCTACCCCGTAACAGTACCACGTATCGAGGCGGTCAGATATTGTGGTGCTAACTGGGGTCTCTGGACTTAATTTAAGAACAAGCCCACCGAGAATTTACCTTACCACAATAGAAAACGTGCAAAATCACATTTCATAGCTTGCAGAAAACATAAAACGCATTTTGATTAAAGCAGGCAGTCACGTGTGATGAAATGTGAGATTCAACGTTATGTTCCTTCCATTACATTTCAGAAGAACGAATAAATTACATATTTATTAACAAGCGCTTTATTCGACGTGGCTTTATTTGAACGAGGCTTTTAAGCTCTTCAGCGGTAAACGGGGGATTAACTGTACCCAATAGCTTTGATGATTCAATCACGCATCTTAATGTGGGCCGTATGCTCTTTTTCCCGCGCAATAAGAAAATAATTGCTAGTATAATATCTTCTACAGTTGAGCTTCGTACATAAATGTTCCCTCAATTTTTTGTATGATACCAGTGGTCCCGCTGTAGTCGAAATTCGACTATAATTAATTGAAATTATAAGTTTGTACACTATTAAGATTCTATTTTCAAAGACTATTATACTTCTATAATCACAAATTTCGCCAAGACTACACTATAGAAAAATATTAATAAAGACAAACAATATTTAATCTATTCTCAATTTGACAACAGACGTCAAGAACAAAAGTTTGACAATAAATAAATAGTATGAATGCGTGTGTGCGTCAAATACATGGTAGTGTGTGTAATGTTTTCTTTATTGATTTAATGTATCTTTTATGCATTATCTTAAAAAAATATTAGCATTGTGCACTTCTTCTCTATATTCTCTATAAGTGTGGGAAATTTCGTACTCCTCCCTCCGCGCAATTTTCGTAAAAAGGGATACAAAGTTTTTGCTTCACGTATTAATATATAGATGTCGGTACTTTGTTTAGTACATATTCGGAATATTTCTAGAACGAAGCGCTTGTTCAATTCGCTTTTTTGAATTGAACAAGCGAATAACCTGATGACATTGTGGTGGGATCTCGTTGTGGACTGCAACATTGAAATTGAATTGTCCATGGAATTCGGTAGTTTTATACCTGGTCATTTCCTTCGATTAGCGTTGATCAGCAATGATCAATGAATTAAATAACAGAACTGCTCGGGAAATTGATAATTTTTACACACACACACAGTCAATGGAGTTGGTTTTGAGTTACTATTCCTGTCATAGACTTATTCGCTCTCCTGTGATTATTACTTGTTTAGGGGATATTGATTAGGTTAGGTGTTATTAATCAAAAACAGAAAAAAGCACCTTAATAACAAGCCGAACTATATAAAAGATACAATGATTTGTTTCCTAGTAGTTCTGATCCGGTTTTTATTTTTTTATTGCGTAGTGAGACGAGCTCACAGCACACCTGGTGTCAAGTGGGTACCGGAGCCCATGGACATCTATAGCGTAAATGCTGCCACCCACCTTGAGATATGAGTTCTAAGGTCTCAGTATAGCTACAACGGCTGCCCCACCCTTCAAACTGAAACGCATTACTGCTTCACGGCTGAAATAGACAGGGTGGTAGTACCTACCCGTGCGAACCCACAAGAGGTCTTACCACCAGTAATTACTGAAATCGAAACCAACCAGTTGGACCGAAATAAATGAAATAATGGTAGTGTAATTGATTTTCGAGGTTTAAGCAGAAGAGGCAAAAGCTAACGCACTGGTCGGACTAGATACGCTCAGCTCTTAACTCTTCAAACCACGATGTCTACGATCTATGCAGCCGAAAATAGTCATATGGCGCAGAATAATCCAGGAAAAGGTCATTCATGGAGGCCATGACCCTAAGCAATGGGGATTATCGACGCAAGGTGGAATCGGTTCTCGATAAGTTTTCAAATTTGCTGTAGATTAAGTTTAAAGAGTTTCTATTAGGTATATAGCTTCGGGTGAAGTCAAAAGAAGTTAAAACAAATTGGCATCGTAACATTTTTTTCTCCCAATTTCACAACAAAAAAAAACAAAAGAGAAAACACATTACGTAGAATAAATTTCAATCTTGAGAAGTCATTGTTTCTGATACAGAAAGTTTGTCCTAAGGCGAACTATATGTAATTGTGGAAAACCTTGTTCACTTAGGACGCCATCTTTCATTTAATATCAAACCTTTATTTATTCTTTACCTTCTTTTCTACCAATTTTTAAGCAACGAATTTGAGACTTAAATTTTTTGAGATACACATAACTGGAGTGGAGTTTTCCTATAGTATTCCTGAAGCGATAAACGCTTTTGATATTGCACGCAGTGGACTACAATTGTAAATACCCAGTGACCCGGAGCAGTTTGTCATTTGACATCGCTTTAAGTTTGGGGATCATGACAACTGTTTTGTATTGACGTTGATGGTAAACGACCGAAATAGTGGAGATATAATATACTGGTGGTAGGACCTCTTGTGAGTCCGCGCGGGTAGGTACCACCGCCCTGCCTATTTCTGCCGTGAAGCAGTAATGCGTTTCGGTTTGAAGGGCGGGGCAGCCGTTGTAAGTACACTGAGACCTTAGAACTGATATATCAAGGTGGGTGGCGCATTTACGCCGTAGATGTCAATGGGCTCCAGTAACCACTTAATACCAGGTGGGCTGTGAGCTCGTCCACCCATCTAAGCAATAAAAAAAATTTATTACGGTCGCCCGTGGACAATGGAAACGCCATCGTTCGCTTACCGAGAAGCTCTCTTTTTCTCACAGTCTCCTTTGAAGAAGGATATGTCATAGTGCTCAAGAAGCAACGTGGTGGGGAGAATTCATCCAAAAGTCGGATTGTGATGATGAACAAAGTAATAGCTTTCGATGAACACTTTCGATGAACAAAGTAATAGCAGGAATGAACTAAGCTCTAATGGAGTATGGTGTGATGATAAATTGGAAACGATAGAATCACTCGAAGCAGTGGAGCACCAAGAAAACAATACAGAGAGAAAGAACCAAAGCTTCTCCGTAAATCCAGAGGTCCACGAAATATGAGCTTCCGAAAAAGGGTCTAGCCCGGAAAATTGATATTGCTTTCAGTTCATTGACAATTAGTTCTCGTCCGATAGTTTAACCTTCAATTGAGTGAGGTACTTTCTCAAATACAACACAGACGCCTCTAGAATCATAAAGTTTTATCTAATCTA